CTCCCTAAGCATTGGTTCCCAAATCTGCAAATAGGAACATTACCAGTAATTACTCCGTGGGAGGGTTGTGAGGATTAAATGAGTCTACCCATAAACTGCTTAACAGGGTAGCTGGCACAGAGTAAAGGACTTAAAGATGCCAACTATGTTAGTCCACAGTGAGTCTATTAGGCTCTGACAAATGCCCACTGGAGTGACGCCCCCACCCACGGCGGCTCTGAGGGGGTGAGCAGGGGGAGGCCCGCCCGGGCTTCAGAGCCTGCACCTGTTTGGGGGCCAGACATTTACACTATGGCCACATGTTCTTCCTAAAGGGAAGGCATTTGTCCTTCAAAATAACAATACTATCTTGAATATTTAGCATGACTTTCTCCTAAAAGCTTCAAGTTACGGGTGTGAATTTATTATTTATGCTTCCACAACAGCTTCCCCAGATGGCTAAAATCAGCTATAATTTCCAACTTTTTGGGCAGTAAAACTACGGCACTAAGGAGTGGCGGGTGAGCACGAGCAGTGGTCACACCCGAGCTAAATGCAGACCCTGCCTCCCAGGCCGGTGGGCATCCCCTCCCCCACAGAGCGGGAAGCCTGGACAGGAGGCCGGAGGCAGCCAGAAGAGCGCAGACTCCAGGGCCAAACAGCTCTGCTGTGCAATAGCTCCGCGAGCGCGGCAAGTTATTTAACCTCTCCTGGGCCCGCTTTATTTTGCTTTTTAAATGTGTAAAGTTTCCAGCTCAGTGCCTGGAACAGAAGAAGTACTTAAGGAATATTAGTTACTTTTCCTTTGCTTTACAAACACTCATTTAGTCGCCTGCCTCCTCACCATGTCCACGTGGATAGCAGATCAGGCATTTCACGTGAAAGTGCCCCGAACCGAACTCCCGATCTTTCCCTATGACCTGCTCTTTTTGCGATCCTTTGTCTCCAAGTGCAGCCGCACCACTCTAGCCACCTGGGGTCATCCTCACTCCCATCACTTTCACTTCCCACATCCAATCCCCAGAACATCCGACGTCTCAACCTTCAAAACGATTCCTAATATGATGACATCTTTCACCTCTATGGATCCACCCCTGACTGAGTCAACAATGTGTCTCTCCTGGGTGACCACAGAGTCTCCTAAATGGTTTCCTTGCTTCCTCTTACTCTTAAAAGGGCAGCAGGACAATCCATTAAAAACATAAATCAGGTCATGTCACTCCTGCTCAAAGCCGGACAATGGCTTCTCATATCACTGAAGGGAAAGGCAAAATCCTCCCAGGTCCTACAAATGAGACCCCGCGATCTGACCTTGTCAATGCCGCCCTCTCCGGGGCTCACTCTGCTCTGTGCTGACCTCCATCCAATTCCCCAATCAGGCCAGGCCACATAACTTCTGAAACTTTACCCGGCTATTCCATATCCCTAGGACATGATTCCACTCTTCCTAGACACCTGGCACACTTGCTTTCCTTATTTCTTCAGGATTTTGCTTAAATGTCACCTCTCTTGTAAGACCTTCCATGAGCTCCCCACTTGAATATTAATACCACCCACACATGGGCACACGGGCACACAGGCATCCCTTACATCTTCTCTAATTTCCTCAAGAGCACTAATCACTGTCTACTGTACTATCTGCTTCACTTTGTCTGTTTGTTTATTGAGTATCTTCCCCAATCATATATACATTCATATGGGGTACGGATCGGGCTTGTTTTAGTCTTGCAACCTTCCCAATAGTCAAAAACTAGTAAGCTCAGTAAATATGACTGAATGGGAAACTCTTAATTCTAGCCATCAGTGGCATGTCCGAGTCTTTCTGATAAGAACTAGTGGCTCGGAAAAGAGATCCATTGGCTGGAATGCTCTTGATAAGTATGCAGGCCACTGACATGGGGAGGGAGTCGTCAGGTGAAGTCGAGGGTCAGGGAGCATACGGACATCCCCAGGAGGCACCCCCAAAGCCACCCATGGTAGAGGCTGAGAATCCACGTCCAAGCTAAAAGGCTTCCTACTAGATTCCCCACATAATGAACCTAGGTAAGGGGGATCCACAGCGCCATACGGAGTCAAGAGTATACGTGATCTGAACATAAGCAGCGCTGCAGCCCCAGATAACAAGTTGTTCTAAAACACAGACGAATTAACAAGGCCTAATTGCATCAATGTCACTCAAAGTGTTTACAGTGAAAGATGTCAACAGCAATTGCCTTCCCCAGAGGGGAGCGCTCGTCTTGGATGAGCACGTTCTGTGCCAATGGGTCTGTCCTACAGGAACCTCCGTTCCATGACCTAGCTTCTAATTGGTCTGGTTTAGAAAGAAAAAAAAACCCAAACCCCAAACTTGTACAAAAGTGTCATATGGAGAAAATAAGAGCTTACTTGTTTTCTTTTCACCTCCGTGTTTTCCCAGAAAAGTTAGGGCGAGCCTGAGAAAAACCCCAGATGTTTTTATACTCCTTGGCTGCCAACAGACAAAAATGTAAGGCAGTCTGCCGTGTCTGTGAGCTCCTGGAAGGCATGTGCCATGTTCAATAGTTTCAGATAACAGCGCCATCTGATCTATTCCTCTGCATAGTGGGGGCCTGACAAACGCTAGAAATAAACCCAGGAAAGAATGAACAGACACAATGCAGCCCGTCCCTGTCCCACCCTTGGCCCACACACTGCTCCGCCGCAGGAAAGGCCTTGAATCGCAGAGCCCACCAAACCCAAACCCGTGGACCAGCTCTGGGAGCAGCAGGAGCCTCGGGAGCCACGGGTGCCCGAGTGTGGTTACGGCTGCAGGCCCCACTCGCTCCACGGCAGGTCCTCGCCTGGCACAATAAATGTGCTTTCCCAGCCATAATTAGTGACCACCTGTCCCAGAGATTTTGCTGAGTTACACTTACTATCCAAGGGAGACGTGTAGCTGTAAATGCAGACTGCAGGTTGAATTTCTTGGGAGCCGACTCTCATTCGGGAGTTAGCATGCAGGAGGTTAATTTAGGGAGAGCTCCTGGGAAAAGCGCCTGTGAGAGCCAAGGGAAGGAAGCAGGACTGGGCAGAGGGAGAAATCCAGCCGCAAGGCAGTCTCAAGGGAGCACTACAGCTGATTCTGCAAGATTCTACGTTCCTCAGTCATTGTGTGATACGGGTGCCCCAGGAAGGGGGTGTGGGCCACACGGGCAGGTGACTCTCCTTACTAGAGGCCACCCCCAAACAAGGCTGACAGCTGCGGGCCATCTACCGGCAGCACTCCCAGCAGCTGGAGTTTATTACTCCCAAAATAAGTCTTTCATTACCAAAGGGGAATGTGGGCATCTACAGCCACACGATCACTGCTCCTATCCGGCTGGACAGAGCACAATGCCCATCACCTCCTCCGTGATGCCCTCCCAGCTGCCTTCTCTGACCCCCCCAACTTTCAGCAGAGGTGGTAATTCCCACTCCCCTTCATTGTGCATGCACCGCCTGCCTGACACCCAGTAGGGATGCAGGAAGTGCTGCCAAATAAACACATCACTGCATACTGAACCTCAGCATGAAAATAGGAATAAATTTCCAGCTAATTATTAAGAAACCTACCCCCAAGGAGTTCAATTAGATCAGAAAAATGAGCAGAAATGATCGGGGAACTTGAAAAGAGATGCAGACGGAAGCCAACACATAGGTGCACCCTGGTCTCAACTCGGCACAGCACTGCATGCCCCAAGCTTCCCTTTACTTGTGCAATGGACAGTCCAAGCATTCTAGGAGGAAGGGACTAGAAAGCTGAGACACGCTCGGTATCAGCACTTTTTTTTTAAATCCTCACCTGAGGATATTTTTCCCATTGCTTTTCAGAGAGAGTGGAAGGGAGAGAGAGAGAGAAACATCAATGATGAGAGAGAGACACATCGATTGCTTGCCTCCCGCATGAGCCCCGACCAGGGCTGGGGATCGAGCCTGCAACCGAGGTACACGACCTTGGCCAGAATCGAACCCAGGACGCCCCACGGACTGGGCCGACGCTCTAACCCCTGAGCCAGATCGGCTAGGGCAGTAGCAGCACTTTTGCTGAATGACATCTTTGTCAGTGTCCTTACTGACATGGGTAAGGAAAGTAAGTTTGGATCCTGATAAGGGCAAGAGTGAGGGTCAGAGTGTCTCCCGCATGACATGCTGAGGACTTTTCTCAATTAGCCCAGAGCTGAGAGGCTCCAGGAAGGAAGCAGGCAGAGACCAGAGCTGGGGAAGATTCACTCCTCCTCCCTGCGAATGGAAACAGAAACCAACGGCAATGCCCTGTGATTTATGAAAATGCTGTCAATTTACAATCACTCACGGGGATCTCAGCCTCAGAAGACAAGGAGCTACAGATGATAACTCCGTCTGGGGAAAGGGGGTTAAAACCATAGCCCGAGATTTCTGCTAACCTGTCACTGCTCCCAGAGTTGCGCACACCCACGGGGCTCACGATTTCCCCCCGGACGCTCTCGTGAACCTTGAGGCAGTGGCAAGAGCTACAATAATAGCTAAGCAGAAACGAACCAGGCTAGAAGGAAGGTCTTGTAAAGCCAAACGTACACACCCCTTTCAAATAACAAACCACAACGCGAAGGAAAGCTCAGGCCATGACATTTGCAAACACCCTATTAATCAATACGCATCTCCACTGCCCCACGGGCTTTCCCTGCCATCAGCCTCATTCGATGCAGAGAAACCCGAGAAATGTGTGTCTCCGCACAGGTAAGTCAACCGCCATCATCCGCATACAAATACACACCCTGGATACTGGTCTCTCCCAAAGCGCCCTAAACCGGGCTCTGCCCACGAACATAGCCCTTCCCTCTCCACTTACTGCAGAAACGCGGATTCTGGCCCAGGGCGCTCCCAAGGCCAGCAGGCATGATACTCGGCTGAATTTCTAATTCCTTATTCATTTCATCAACACGACCTCATTAAGAGTTCACTTCACATTTAAAAAAAATACAATTACTATTCTTGGCATGTGACACCTTTAAAGATACCAGAAAAAAACGGCTACAAGTAATTACCTTTGAACTTGTGGAACACAGCCCACAGCTCAGCGATGTCGGTGGCGAAGGTGATGTCCGTGTCAAGGACAATGACCCTCTCCAGGTTGGCAGGAAGCGTCTTGGTGAGGACGAGCTTCATCAGGCCGTAAATCCCAGAGTAATGTTTGTTGGGGATCCAGGAAACTTCAGACTGCAGGGGGCGGCGAAGAGAGGGAGAGGCAGAGGGAAAAAAAAAAAAAATCACTACATTCATTTTTTTTGCATAAACATTATAAATCGTGCCTGGTACATGAAAAGTATCCAATACAAATTTGTTGAATAAACGAGTGAATATTTTCTTCCAGATTTGTTCGTGCAATTTAGAGTTTGGCAGGTGAAGGTTTTTGGGGCAGAAAATGTATCTGAATCAAGGGAGAGGAAAAGTGGTATTTATAAAATAAGTATTACATGTAAATACTACACTCAGATTTTTTAAAATAACATTTCTGTTATTACAGAAATTGTATAGGTACATTGGAGAAAGTAAGAATATGTACTAAAGCAGAAATGAAAGTATAAAAATGGAATCAGACTATATTTATATATATATATATTTTGCAAAGGGTACCTAATTTTTTCCTAGGTAGATGTATTTCTTTCAATCATTAGAGATGACTTAGTGGTACTAAGGCTTACGCTAATCTATTTTTTTAATTTTAATTTTAATTTAATATGCCTTTTTTGATTTCAGAGAGAGGAAAAGGGGGAGAGAGACAGAAACATCAATGATGAGAGAGTCATTGATCAGCTGCCTCCTGCACGCCCCCGACTGGGGATCGAGCCCGCAACCCGGGCATGTGCCCTGACTGGGAATCGAACCTCGATCTCCTGGCTCCTAGGTCGATGCTCAACCACTGAGCACGCCAGCCGGACACACTTATCTAATTTTGAAGCTGTAATTAAACCAATTAGTGTTACTGCCTTCTGGTTCTCACGTAAACACACAGGAGAAACTGGTCATAATCTATGCAACACTCTTCACTGCGTAACAAAAGACACGTGCACACGCACACGTACATGGGCATGTGCCGAACGAGCCCATGGAGGGCCATCCCTGAAATCCTCACCTGCTATAGCAGCTAATGTCCTACAGGTGGGTAGTAGAAAGCAAATCACACAGCCTTGCCTGGTGTGGGTCAGTAGTTAGAGCACCGGCCCGCAGACTGAAGGGTTGCGATTCGATTCCCGGTCAAGGGCACACACCTTGGTTGCAAGTTTTAAAATGGCTTTTGTGTAATAACCCTTATGTATAATCAAAGAACATGAAAATATACCCACACAAACTTATGCAGAGAAAGAAGAAATAGAAGCATGACATCAAATGACTAATGGTGGCATGACGTGTGATTTATTGATTGACAGAGAAAAAGATATGTATGTATATATGTACGCACATATATTTAGCTAATCTTTATTAACTTTTTAAAAGGAACAGCTATTGCTGCTATAAAGAAAACTAAGCATTCTTTTTAAGCATACCAAGACCTGGCGAGGTAGGAGCACAGAGCTGATTGAGGAGAGCTTGGGGAAGGGACCCCCTGCGCCAACTCATCCGACCCATTCCGCCTGTCAAACCTGCCCCATATGATGCTTTCATCTTTGGTTTATTTGAAAATGTCATTTCAGCTACTCTTTACTCTCAGTTTTCCAATGGTCCTTTGCATAAATGGGTATAATTTTGACCAGGAAAAAAAACACACCCATAAATTGATGGACTGAACTGTTGACCATCTATCTGTCAGTCTCAAGAAAAACAACCGAACTCTATACGTCGTAGTCACTGTCACCTGGCACCCGGGCAGCACAGAGGAGGGAAGGAAGACAAGAGAGTTTATATCCGGACTCCAGCCCCATAAAAGGTGTTGATCTCTCTAAGCCTCGCTTTCTTTATAAAACGGAGGTGCTGCCTACATCACATTGTTAATGTCGAAACTGAAGGAGATGAAAGGACTTGAGTGCTTGGTACACAAAAGACCCTCAGTGCGTAGAGCCCCTGACCCCCTCCCCATTTCAGGTATTCAGGTAGCTGTGCCTCTTTAACAGCTTCCCATGGAAGGCGGTGGTCTCTGGAAGACAATCCAGTAGGAAACCTTGGGTTCTGGAGTCAGGCTCGCCTGGATTCGGATCCTGCCCTGGCCACTTAATCACAACGTCAACTTGGACAAGTTTGCTTGGCCACTGTGAGCACCTGTCATGTATAAAAGGCAGTTACTTCTAAGTGCTCGCTGCTTTGTATCGTCAGGGTGTGGGTGGGAACAGCGCTCAAACTGGATAATCTGAGTTACATGTCACAATAAAGAACTGGAGTGTATGCAGAACTTAGGGGCAGTAACAGGACGGAGCAGCACCCAGGAAGGGGAACAGTGTGTGTGTGGGGGGGACCGCCCAGGGCCTGCAGCTGCTGGAACCCAGAGAGAAAGCCATGTGAATAAGCCACCTGACAGGAGCGGTGGCCTTCATAGAGGGGCAGGGGCTACCTGTGACAATCCCACAAGATGGAACAGGGAGAGATCCCAGCCGCGCTCTCCTCCTGCCCACTGGGCCTGCTGGACACACCCAGTGAGCTCAGAGATGTGACACTTATACATTAGCCTCGAGGGGGACAAAGCGGGGTAGATGGAGGAGGGAAGAGAGAGGGCCCGGGGGGACCAACAGAACACAACTAACACAGCCATTAGATTAATCATAACAAGGCAAGATCAAAGCTTAATGCCTCATACATAAGAGATGCAAAAGGCATATTTGAGGGACGGGTGGGTGGGAGGATTGATGGGTGGACCTACAGACCAACAGCCAGTTGAATGGCAGGTGAGTGAGCTGTCTGCATTCCCCAGGACGCACAGCTGCAGTGGGGACCTGGCGGGGGGAGGTCTGCGGTCTTTCCCCAAACCACGGTGCCCTTCCTTGGCGGTGCCCTTCCTTGGCGGTGCCCTTCCTTGGCATTAGCTTCCACCCGCAGCCCGAGGGCTCTGCACTTCCCTCCAGCAGGCCTTACAAAACCCCTCGTGGAAGGCCCAGCCTTCGCAGCTCAGCTCAGGCTCTTCTCTCCCCTGAGGCCTGGGCTGTGTCCCTAATCGGCCGCCCGACTCCTGGATTTACTTTTAACACTTGGACACATCACAGAACAGTAGGACTCTGGGAATAAATTAATCTCAACATGAGCCCAGGCCTGAATGTCACCCCACGCCCCCAACTTAATACAGAATCAATTAAGTCAGAGAGCGCAATTAGAGGTAATAGAAGCATTCATATGAGTTTGTGTCCGCAAAGAAAACGAAGGAATCTATGGGAGAGAAGAACCTGTAGTAGGAAGCAGATATATTTATTCCAAGTGGCTCATTCTCTGAGAAGTCGCATATCACATTCCTCGTATCCCCCAATCCTGGGATCCCTTTAAGTCTCAGCTTAGAAGGCACCACCCCTGGCTGCCTCGTCCCCGGTGCCCCAGGCGGGTGCGGGCTCCAGAGCCGGCCGTTCGCGTTCCTTCTGCACAGCACGCGGCCATGCTATGTCTAATTGTCCATGTCTCTCTCCAGCTCTGAGCTGGAACTCCTTGAGGCAGGGATGATGTCATTTTTACTGTGGTAACAAGTCGTTACTCAAAAACTGTTTGATGAATGTGCATGATTGCAGAGTTAGCCGGGCCTGGGTCCAAATGCTACTTCTGACTTTTTCCGCCACTGGGAGCAGAAGCATCCATAATGCTCAGGTCCAGGGGTCGGTACAGTGGGAGAGACACGGCTGGTTGAGCCCCACAGCCTGGGCATTAGTGCCAGTTCCACTGCGAATGAGCTGTGTGAGCTCAGGCAAGTCATTGAGCCTGTAGGGGCCTTAGTTTTCTCTAAATAGGGGCTTAGAACACTCCAATTGCCAGGAGGATTGCAAAGCTGAGTGGGCACCAGGGGGCCTCTGTGAAGCCCAGTTTTCTTTGCCCAGTGAACATCTGTCCACACCACCAAGGCTCAGAGGATTCTGGATTTTGAGTTTGATATAAAGGCAGGGGATTAGGTACCTCTGAGAGTACAGGGGAGGCTGGGAACGGAGGTGGTTTTGGCGGGGGAAGTAAGTTGCCCATCGCCTTTTGCTATGTTTCTACATAAAGACCAGCAAGATCACAAGCTGAGATCTACCGGGACGCTCGGAGCCTCCTCTGGTAGATCTCCAAATGGGAAAGCATGTCCTTGGTCTTAGGAGGAGGGGCGGGGTGGGCCTGGTCACCCACGCAACCGATGGGGCGGTCTCCTGGTGCAATCCACACTAGTACTGATCTCACCCCCACCCTGCAATAAACTTCAATCCAACCAGGGACACCAAGTCACAAGATCAGTGGACAGAAGAGCATCCCCCGAGGGACGGTGAGAAACCATGGAGGGTGCCATGCAGACTGACCCTAGGATCCTACAGAGATGCCAGCCCCTGGCAGAACAATAGCCTAGTTATGTTCTTTACCATTATAAACACACCAAAGGGTTCATGTAATTAAAACGATAATAAAACTGAAAGTTAGGTTTATTTTAATGGACATATTCTTCCCCTTGCAACGGCTGTTAATAATTCTAAGCAGCATGTTCTAAGATTTAATTAGCAGGCGTGCAACTGGGCTCAAGGATACCGCCTGATGCACTTACGTAAAGGAGCGTATGCGCGCCCAGGTTTTAGGGTTTCTGTTTAAAGTGGGGGCTGGGGGAAATTCGCCTTGCCAGAGGCCAGTTCCTCGGG